ATCAAATCAGTCACTTTTATCAGAATCTGTAGCATCTTCCCAAGTGGACAGTACATCTGTGGACAAATCAGGACCCGAAACAGAAGACCTGCAAGGTTTGCACATGAGCTAACTCACTTCCGTCATCCATTTAACAGCTGAGGATCACAGGCCAGGCACTGTCCTCGGAGCATATATTCTTTTAAATTGCCTGCCTAAAATATATTTTTATATTTATTTTCTTTATGAGCAGAATATTTTACATCTTCAAGTATTTAATGGACTGAAATGTTGGGAGCCACTTCACGCTGATACGTAATTTATGTCGTCGATGTAAATGTAGAAAATTGTAAATTTGTTTAGTTTGAGAACTAAGTGAATGAATAGTGGTATTATACTGTTCTCTTTTACTGTTATTTTTACCAGTTTAACCTAAATATTATTTCCCCTGCAAGCAACTACGGCTTCGGCTTAGGGGGAATCTCTTACCTTTTGACTCGGGTCGTTAGACCGTTGGACGTGACTGGCGGTCGTCCCTCTCTCCCCGTGTGGGGTGCGAGGGCAGCCGTCACGTTCAGTTTCTCGTCTTCACAGCACGGTGCCTCTTGCTCTTGCCCACACTCTTTCCATCCCCATCATGTGCGTCAGAATGATGTAGGAAGGCTTTCTCGGCGGCAGAGATGGTAGAGAGACTGAGGAGACTGGTAGATAGCCTGTGCTCATGTGGAGACACTGGCTCACTGAAGAAGGACACTCGGGAAAGGTAAGCCCACGGCTGAGCCTACGGCCTGGCTTAGAGAGAGAAGCTCTCCGGGCCAGTGAGACCTTCCATCGAACATGGTGTCCGCATGGTAGCGGCAGGTGTGTCTCGTCATCTTAGCTTACGTTTGCTGAAGTTTGAATGTGGCTGAGCTGGCTAGTTCCCCTTGCTCTGAGTTCATGCCCGAGAAATGATTGGCATAGTTGGCCTGTTTGTAGATTTTGCTGTAGCAAGAAAATACACTGTCTGGCCAACATCAGTATTCTCTTCCATGCAGCATATTATTGTAAATTAATAAACATTACAAGTGAAAATGTCTTATTTTTTTGTTAAAAAGAAAAATTTTAGGAAGGGAAGAAATAGAAAAATCCCTAAGATTTACTTATCCCTGGGGCATGGGAAGTAGGAGAAGGGTGGTAAAGCGTTTGGTTTTGTGACGGCGGCAGTGGCCGGCTGCTTTAGACGGGGGGCTCAAAGGGGTGGTGTGGCCAGACAGGATGCGCGCTCAGTAAGTCGGACGGGATCACCTTTCAGAATTTGCTCTGTTGGAGGTTGTCGATAGATAATTGGTATTCAGATGTGTGATGAGTATTATGTCTGCTATTTGGATGTCCTTGGCACATGTTGAAAAATGAGGAGCTAAAATTAGGAGGAGCAGGTTGGAGGACGAGTCGGCAAAGGAAGGAGAAGTCATCTGGGCCCTGGTTAATTTCAGCCCACAGGTGCCCACGTCGGAGAGTTTCTAGAAGCAAGGGTTGCTTAGCAGTTTGGGAAGAGAGCTAAGTAAGGAAAAATGAAAACAGGCTGCTAATCATGAAGATGTTATTATCTCACGATGGAACAAAGTTTAGAATGTTGGTCGTGAACAAAATGTGTGCCGCTTACGGACACGGTCGCAATTACTGTACAAGTCTGACAAAAGGTGAAGAGAGGTTGGCCACCTGTGACCATGTAAAGTGCTTTTATACCATTCGTGGTGTATGGAGAACAGGGTAGTTTTCTGTACCTAGCCCTGAGGACAGGAATGCAGAAGGTGGTCTTGAAGCTGTATGAGGAGAAATCATAAGGGGTTTTAAAAATTTAGACTCCTTTTTTCATGTATGATTTCAATGACTTTTAAGGTTAAACCAGTATTAGCTTATAAGTACCTCTTAAAAACTTAGCATTCATTATTTTAGCATTGCAGAATCTTTGGAAAATCTGGTACAAGTTTCATCTGAGTTTGAGAGGATTCATTTTCAGTGCATAAAATTTCTTAACAGCCTAGTTTTTAAAAAGGTTTTGCTTATGCTGTTGAATTAAGAATGTCTTCTTTTATTGTAAACGTGCACAAATACAGGTTTCCCTGCTATCCAAAAGTAGAGCCTTTTGGTGAAACGTTTTGTAAACTAAAATGGTGTAAAGAGGCAATTACCATTTCATAAAAGCGAAAATTCTCTTTGGCCGATATCTTTGTTAGCAAAAACAGGTACTAATATAGGTTTTTCATAAACGTGAAGTGCATATAGCAGATTCTCAGTAGCAGGGGAAATGCGTGTGTGGATGCGTGTCGGTGTGCACGTACACTCATAACATAAACTTACTTGTGATTTCCCTGTTGATAGAAACAAATGCAGAGAGTATTTTCTTCCATCTCTTTAGTGGATGGACAAACACTGACAGAGAAAAGTCTTGGACTCCAGTGCTGTAGTCATTTGACCTGGAGCTGGAACCCGGGCACCCGACTCCAGGCCAGGATTCTTTCCCGGACAGTTGTCGTGCTCGCTAGCCTGGGCCGTGCAGCCCCCCCCTGGCCAGGGTGGTGTCGTCTGCCTTGGTGACCAGCCAAGTATCCACTTTCTCCTGTATTACTCCATTTGCATCCCTCAGGGAAATTGATTTAGATGGGAAGATCATCCCAGGGAGAGGGTTCATGAGTAGCAGCCATGCATCTAAGCCAGCATTTCCTAACGTTCTTTATTGGAGTTTTCCGATAAGCGTCCTTGGAAGGACTTCTTCCTCTGTAGGTGTTCTGCTTATAATTAGGCTGTGTTGCCACCAGGCGGGTGGTGCTGAAGAGTGTCCTCGTGGCTCTGAAGAGTTTTCCTCCTCTTTGAATGTTATAGCATGTTTCTCATGTAATTATTCTTCTAACTTAACAAGTAGCAATACTCCACGTAGTCTCACTTAGGAACGTCAGATTTTCAGTTCACAAAAGCTAGTGTTTTTTTTTTTAAAGATTTTGTTTATTTATTTGACAGAGAGATAGAAAGAGCACAAGTAGGCAAAGAGGCAGGCAGAGGGAGAGGGAGAAGCAGGCTCCCCACTGAGCAGGGAGCCCGATGCGGGGCTCAATCCCGGGACCCCGGGATCATGACCTGAGCTGAAGGCAGATGCTTAACGACTGAGCCACACAGGCGCCCCACAAAAGCTAGTTTTAAAAACATTTTTTAAAGTGTTTCGGTGCACTTTACGCCATCGTACTTGATTGCCTTCCTGCACGTTGTGCTTCACTTTGGTTAACCTCTCAGTCCCTCACATCCTGAACCTTAGGAAAAAGAAATGGAATTTGGATCAGAGGTTCTATTTCCTACCTTCCTTCCTTCCTTCCTTCCTTTTGTTTTTTAAAGATTTTATTTATTTATTAGAGAGAGAGCATGAGCGGGGAGGAGAGGGAGAAGCAGACTCCCCGCTGAGCAGGGAAGGGGGACTGAGCCGGGACTCGATCCCAGGACCCCGGGATCATGACCTGAGCCGAAGGCAGGCGCTTAACCAACTGAGCCACCCAGGGGCCCCAGAGGTTCTATTTTCATTTGTTGATGCCCCCACTGAGCCATACTTTTATTACTTTTAAAGGAGAATAAGTAATAGCCACATCCACCTTACAGGGTGCTAGAAGTCAGTGAAATGATGGATGTGAAATGGGTTTTATACACCACAAAGGATATTCTTATTCTCTGCAATGCCACAGGGATGTGGCAGTTACAGGAGGCTTAGGATAAGAGAGACTTGTGAAGCTTCCAACAGTAGCACGAGATGAGGTACTGAGCCCTTCATCAGTGACGCATTCTAGGAGGACTGAGTTATTGTCAGAACGGTGGACAGGGATTGTCTCCTAGAGTTGACAGAGTGAACTAGATTCCCCAGACTCCAACTCTTAGGGATCCTGACTTCATACAGAATTGAGTGGACAGCTCGGTGGCTCAGAACAATCCGAGAGAAACAGTCCCGTTAGACAAATTTGAGAAAGCTGTCTGGATTAAAAAGCAGATTTCTTCTGATTTTAAAGTCTGGGTGAGAATAGCCAAACAGTCTTGGAAAAAGTAGAACAGAGCTGAGGAAGACTAACAATTCCCAGTTTCAAAGCTGAGCACAAACTGCAGTAACTGAGGCTACAGATGCAGGCGTGAGGACACTCCTGTGGATTGCGGGGGTAGGACCGGCGTCCAGAAATACACTCTGACAGTCACGGGCAGTTGATTTTCAACAAATGTGCCAAGATCGTCCAGTAGGGGAGGAGTAGGCTTCAGCAGGTGATGATGGATAGTTAAAAGGGTAAAATTGGACCTCTACTCACACCTTATATAAAAGTTTACACCAGAATACTAGAACATAGGAGCCAAAACTGTAAAACGTTTAAAAGAAAAACAGGCGTAAGTCTTCATGACCTTGGCTCAGGCAGCGCTTCCTTAGGTGGGGCACCTGACGCACAAGCGACCAGAGGAACACAGACACACCGGAACCTGTTTGCTTCAAGGGACACCATCAAGAGTGCGAAAAGGTAGTCCACACAATGGGGAAAATATTTGCGAATCATAGATCTGATAAGATTATATAACGAATGTTTTAAATTCCAACAATAGAAAGAGCAGTTCTTTAAAGGGCAAGGATTTGAATAGATGTTTTTCCAAAGAAGCTATGCAAATGGTCAAGTGTGAAGGATATGGAGAAATTAGAGCCCTAGTGCATGGTTGTTGGGGACGTACAGTGGTACAGCTGCTTTGGGAAACAGTGTGGCAGTTACACGTTGAATTCAGAAAGTCAGAGAGTTACCCGTATGACCCAGAAATTGCATTCCTAATTCCCAGGGGATTGAAAACGTGTCCACACAGAAACGTGTGTGTTCACAGTGTTCGTAGCAGCATTGTGCATAGTTACCAAAACGTGGCAACAACCCAGATGGCCATCAGCAGGGGACTGGATAAACGAGATGTGGGCTGTCCATACTCTGGAGTGTTCCTCAGCCGGGAAGGGAGTCGAAGTTCTGATCCCTGCCACAGCAGGGGTGAAAACATGCAGAGTACAAGAAGCCAGGCACGGGCACCACAGGCCGTGTGGTTCATGTAGGCGGGAGGCAGGTGCAGTGAAGAGGGCCGTCTGCGGTTGCACAGGCCCCCCCCGGGGGCGGCGGGGGCGGCACTTGCTGGAGGGGCCCGTTCAGCAGGGCTGTGCTGGGACGAAAGCCGAGAAGGTTGTTGAAAGCAGCTCATGGAAGATTCCTGAGGTACTGGGTTCTAATCCATGGGTAGGGGAGAGAGCCTTGTGAAGGCTGGTTGCTTTTTTGTTTTTTTTTTAAGGATGACACAAAGTTGTATTTTAAGAAGATTAATGTGACACTTCTTTGTTCCCAGATAGCTGCTAATAGAAACTGCTGTCCTGCACAGAGCTGCTCTGTCCAGAAAGGTGGCCGCTGGTCTTGGGTACTACTGAGCCCTTGAGAGGTGGCCGGTCTGAAGTTAGTTTAGTACATACTTGTTTGCTAGTAGTGTAATGTATACGTAGGTTTCAGAGACTGAGTATCAAAAAGATGAGAAATATCTCACTAATACTTTAAATACTGATTACATTTTAAATGATAATATATATTAATTTTGCTCTTCTATACTTTTTAACACAGTGGTTGGAAAATATATAATTAAATCTATGGCTTGGTCTATTTTTTTGGACCCTGCTATACTGTAAGGCTTATTTTTCCCTTGAATATTTAAAATGTCATTTTGTAAAGAATTTTTGAGCTAGGAATAACTTAAAGATCATTTGGTTCAACCCCTCATTTTGCATAAAATGAAGTACAGAGAAGGAAAATAAATGTTCTCCCAGTGGGTCGTTGGAAAAGTGTATGTTCATTCAGGAAGTGTCTGTCGAGGGACCACTCGGTGTCAGCACTGGGTGTAAGTGGTGAGCAGAAGCCCCCAAGCACCGAGCTTCGTCTGACCTCCGACAGGGGGGGACTGGTCCTACTGTGTGAGGAAGACGTGCGCATTATTACATTACGTGGGGATTGTGTCTGCTGTCAGATGACTCCCAGGTTGTTAGTATTCATCATGTGTATTAATGTGCTTCCAAACAAGGGTAACAGAAGTAATGCTAGATAGTTTATATACTTATTGTTATATTTGTGTATTTTTTTAGCAGGACCCAGAGCCAGAGGGCTTGTGAAGTATCTTAAAATTACTGGCCAGTAGACTTTGTCTAGTTGGGATTTAAGTTTACTTCCCAGCCTTCATGCCTAGGCCTCCCAAACAGACCTTGCAGACCAGCAGATAGGACGTAGGCGGCTGCCTGTTCTCAGTCATTAACAAGCAGCTGACCTTGTATCCAGTTCTCCTGTCACACTGTGAGAAACTGCCTAGTTCTGAGGACACTTCTCATTTTGGCTTCAGGTTCAATATGTTTATGGCCTTTTTAAAAGACAGAATTGTTTCCTTTTACATGATTAAGAGTTTGATAAGGCATGCTTTGGTCTTAAATCTCACATATAAGGAAATGGGTAATTTCCGGGAATCCTAGGCGTTTACACAATACTAGGTCATCTTGCCCATGAACTTGATTTGGTGAATGTTTCAATTCAAGCTGGCAGTCGGTAGCTGGAGGCAAGCGAAGGTCACCTTAGTCTCATGGGGTCATGAGTGGACGATGATCAGCCTCAGATGCTATCCCTCGCTCACCAGCTCTCGGGCTGCCTGTGGATCCTTAACTCTAAAGGTTGTGCATCTGCTGTGGACAGAGCATTAGGGCTGAGACGTGTGTGTGCAGGAGTGTGTGTGGGGGGGGGGCAGGGAAACGTATCTTCACTCTCCTCCATTTCCAGATTCCAAAGTTTGTGCCTCAGTAGTTCACCTGGTTTTGTTAAAGTTTTCTTGGAGTTTGTGTTGTTGCTGTAATTTAAGCATTATTTGTGTAAGTTTGTGTGACTATCACAGTTGGGAGAACAGGTTGGATATTATGGCTTACACATTTCAGAGACAATAAACAGATTCTTTTCTGATGGCAAGTTAAACTATTTTTGAGCTCTTTACACATAGCAAAATGTTATTTGATACTGTTCTAGGAGCTGTGGATAAAATAAGTAAGCAAGACGTTCAGCCGCTACCGTCATAGAGTTCACATTCTGAGGTTATTTATTTATTAATAATAAAAGGTTTTATGTGTCCATAATCTGTTTGAAATGTTTATATTAGCACAGCTGTCTCCCATCTGGTTTCAGAATTTCTAGGTGGAGTTTACTTGTTCGTTTGTGGTGTTTTGTCTTTGTCATATTTTGTTAAAATGGGAGCTAATATAGTTAACATAAGCAGGTTAGAATCCATTAGGTCAAATGCTTGTGCATCTGCTGTGTGTAGTTCATTGTGATGGGTGCTGGAGATTCATATGGGAAGTAAGATACCACCGGCCCTTGGTGGGCTCACTTACCGTGGAATTGGGGCAACTGGGGCACATGACTGCAGTGGGTGAGTAATTAAGGAATGCAGCTGAGCAGGTTTTGTGAGGCACCTGCCCTGTGGTCAGGGTGCCAGGGCCGGCTGGAGCAGGAGTGGAGAGGACAAGCTCCTGCGCTGGAGGAGCTCACTGCTAAGCCGGGTGAAGACAAAGAGGCCGTTCCAATAGTGTGGGCCTTACTAATGGGGCCCATAGGAAGGTTCCTGTTGAAGTCGTTGGGTAGAGGATGGAGTAAGAGTTGATGGTATAAGCTTAAACAAGAAAGCCCAATTCGAGTAAGCCAGGGAGAGAGTGGGACAGGAGGGGCGCGGGAAAGCATTCCACACAGAAAGGCTGTTGACAGAAGGCCAGAGATTAGAAGACTTTGTATGCTTTGGATTGGTTGTAAGTGGTGTGAGCAGAGGGCTGGCTCCACAGTGGTTGAGCAGGAGAGTCCTCGAGGACTGGATGCTGAGAAACTCAGAGGGCGAGAACTTGGCTGCAGAAAGTCGTTGCTTTAGAGCGAGATGTGTCATGTGACAGACTCTGACTCCGGTGACAGCATCGGGAGGGCCAGGGGATGAGGGACAGGAGGGTTCACATTGGTTCAGATGTGGGCACAGTGCTTTGACCGAATCTTGGTGCAGCTGGCCTTGGTTTTGCTACTTACGTGCGTCCATTTATTATCCTAATTATAACATTCTAATAAATTTATCTTCCTAACATTATAAAGGTTTTATGTGAAACATTCTGAGAATTTTAAACATAGTGTTCCATCTAATCTTGGTTTCAGCCCTTTCTGTCCTTGTTCTCTGAGAAATCTACATAGTTCTGACCCCAGCAATATTTCAGAGTTGGGTTGTGGCCATTTTCTTACACACCCCCTTAGAATACCCAGCTAGTATTTGCGTGGGGGTCAAATACATAATTACTAGAAAAAATAGGGAATACCGCACTAGACCTCTGGAGTCACCGTTAACATTCCAGTATATGTTCTAGATTCCCTGTGTGTGCACACAGTGCATAACATAGGTACATAGATTTAATGGAAAGGGTGTTGTATTAACGTCTACTTTGTAACTTACTGTAAGCATCTTTCCATGCTAAGAGATTCCTCAGTTATCCGCCCAGTAACAGATCACTACTGAGGGTGGGGCAGGGGGACAGCCACCACCTAGTATTAAAATCTTACTGAATGATTAAATTTTACCACCTTCCTGTTTTTGTCAGCTTCAGTATCAGATACGGCACAACAGCCATCTGAAGAGCAAAGCAAGTCTCTTGAAAAACCAAAACAAAAAAAGAATCGCTGTTTCATGTGCA